AATGAATAAGTGAATGAAAGCTATGTATGTACTATATCATTGTGGTGTGTGTGTGTGTGTGTGTGTGTGTGTGTGTGTGTGTGTGTGTTTTATCTCATCATTAGTTAATTCTATCTTCCCAGTAGATTCTAAATTGCTCTAGGGGCAATAATTTAATTTTAGAATATAACCATAATATTCTGTGGTACTTAAATATAGCTTAGGTCACTAACATAAAAATCCTAAAAATTCAGAGACAAATAAGATCAAGGGAATTAAAAAAGAGTTGGCTAAATAAACAAACAACTCAATTAACAAATGGGCAGAGGACATGAGCAGACACCTCTCCCAAGAAGACATGCAAATGGCCAACAGATATGTGAAAAGATGTTCAACCTTATTAATAATTAGGGAAATGAAAATCAAAACTACAATGAGATACCACCTCACACCTGTTAGAATGACTATTATCAACAAGACAAGTAATAACAAGTGTCGGAGAAGTTGTGGAGAAAAGGGAATCCTCATTCACTGCTGGTGGGAGTGTAGACTGGTACAGCCACTATGAAAAATAGTCTGGCCATTCCTCAGAAAATTAAGAATAGAGTTACCATATGACCCAGCAATCCATCTCCTGGATATATACCCAGAAAACTAAAAAACATATATTTGAAACAATATATGCACCCCTATGCTCATTGCAGCATAGTTCATGGTGACAAAGGCATGGAGACAATCAAAGTGTCCTGTGATAGAAGATTGGATAAATATGTGGTACATACACAATGGAATAACTACTCAACCATAAGAAAAAATGAAACACTGCCACTGGGATAACATGAATGGGCCTTAAGAATATTATGCTAAGTGACACAAGCCAGTCAGAAGAAGCTAAGAACTATATGATTTCATTCATATGTGGGATATAAAATTGAAACTTGTGGACACAAACGGCAGTGTGGTAGTTGCCAGAGGGAAGGGGGTGGAGGTAAAGGTGGGTGTGGGCGAAGGAGACCTAATATATGGTGATATAAGATGATTTGACTTTGGGTAGTGGATACACAGTGCAATATACAAATCTTGCATCATAGAAATCGACACCTGAAATCTATATGATCCTATTAACCAATGTCAACCCACTAAATTTCATTTAAAAAAATAGTTGGCAAAGAAACCAGTAAAAGAATCAGGTAAATATAATCCTAGGATAAGAAAAAATTAGCAGAAGTATACTGTAGCTATTGCAAATGTTATCCTCTATTAAAAGCACAATTTACTAATATGATCTCAAATTAAAAATGTGTTAATGGATGGTGGTCATCCACACATTAATTTATGGACAGTCAAGTACTAAAATGACAAACTAAATAAGAATGTGACTTTTTTACTAACACTACAACCAAGGGTCTTAAGCCCCTGCTACATCTATAGCTATAGCTACCTTTAGGTATAGTACTTGATCAAGCACCATGAAATCAAACATTTAATGTATTTCTACCTTGCTTATGTTTATGCTAGTGACATAGGAATGAAGTTTTTGCTCATGCTTTTAATTTATCCTGCAAACTACAGTTCAACAAACATTTGTGTTTTATTTCATTTTTCTAATTCAATAGCTGGTGGCTTTTGTTTGCTCTGTATGGAAATTCCTAAAATACTGCTATAAATATCAAAACAAAATTTTAATTATTAATAACAACAGCTAACTTTTACTGAGTACTTATGACTTTCAGGCACTATTATCTTTTTAATCCTCACAACAAATCTATGAGGGAAATACTATTATTATTCCTATTTTGCTTTGCACAGAGATTAATTTAATTATGTTCACATAATCAGTAAGAGGTGGAGTCTGTATTCAAACCTATGCAGTCAGTTTCCAGAGTTTATGTTCTTAACCACAATGCTAACACAGTTTATATTTCTGAAATATTAATTTTTACATGAAATGGATAAATTACTTTCTTAAAATAAGGTAGTAAGAAATAAATCTACTCTAGGTACCCATCACTAGAACTCTAGAGCAGGGGTCCTCAAACTATGGCCCGCGGGCCACATGCAAATACAAATATTGTATTTGTTCCCGCTTGGTTTTTTTTACTTCAAAATAAGATATGTGCAGTGTCCATAGGAATTTGTTCATAGTTTTTTTTTAAACTGTAGTCTGGCCCTCCAACGGTCTGAGGGACAGTGAACTGGCCCCCTGTTTAAAAAGTTTGAGGACCCCTGCTCTAGAGAATGTGGTAAAATAGCTGGTGCTTAGTTTTTCTGAGAGGTGTTCCTACCCTCAGAGATCTTACAATCCAATTAGAAAATCAGAATATACATTTGAAGTGTATAATACCCTGTAGGATAGGATGAATGCAAGTGAGTAGTACACACAGGACTTGCTATGAAAGTTGAGAGGAAGAAAGTGATTTCCACTTAACAAAAAGAAGATAAACAATCCAATCAAAAAATGGGCAAAGGATCTAAATAGACACCTTTCAAAAGAGGACATTCAGAAAGCCAAGAGACATATGAAAACATGCTCAAAGTCACTAATCATCCGAGAGATGCAAATCAAAACAACAATGAGGTACCATCTCACACCTGTCAGAATGGCTATCATCAACAAATCAACAAACGACAAGTGCTGGAGAGGATGTGGAGAAAAAGGAACACTCGTGCACTGCTGGTGGGAATGCAGACTGGTGCAGCCACTATGGAAGACAGTATGGAGTTTCCTCAAAAAACAAAACATGGAACTCCCATTTGACCCTGTGATCCCACTTCTAGGAATATATCCCAAGAAACCAAAAACACCAATCAGAAAGGATATATGCACCCATATGTTCATAGCAGCACAATTCACCATAGCTAAGATCTGGAAACAGCCTAAGTGCCCATCAGTAGATGAATGGATTAGAAAACTGTGGTACATCTACACGATGGAATACTATGCTGCTGTAAAAAAGAAGGAACTCTTACCATTTGCAACAGCATGGATGGAACTGGAGAGCATTATGCTAAGTGAAATAAGCCAGTCAATGAAGGAAAAATACCACATGATCTCACACATTCATGGATAATAGAGACCATTACAAACTTTTGAACAATAATAGATACAGAGGCAGAGCTGCCTCAAACAGATTGTCAAACTGCAGCGGGAAGGCTGGGGAGGGTTGGGGGGCAGGAGGGAAGGGGGTAAGAGATCAACCGAAGGACTTGTATGCATGCATATAAGCAAAACCAATGGACATAAGACACTGGGGGGTAGGGGAGGCCAATGTAATACCCTTTGTAATACTTATTATAATATTTTTTTTAAAAAGAATAATAAAAAAAAGAAAGTGATTTCCAAGGACTGGGACATCATAAAAGGTCTGATAAAAGAGATAGGTCTTAAAGAAGGGATAAAAATCATAGGAGGAAGAAAAAAGCTAGGATATTATACTAAGCAAGGGGAACCTCGTGAATTATAGATGAAGTACTAAGAAAAGATCCAATCTATAATAATAAAAGCATAATATGCTAATTAGATTGGACATCCTTCCGTACGTCCTTCTGGACGACCTTCCAGATGAAGCTGGGGCTTCGAGGGAAGCCAGGGTCCTGGGGGCCAGGGGGAAGCCGGTGCCAGCAGTTGGGAGAAGGAAGGCCTACTCTTGCATGAATTTCATGCATCGGGCCTCTAGTTGTTTATATGTTTCATGTATTAGGTAAAGTGATGAGGCTGGAAAACTAAGGATCATATTGGGAAAATAACTGAATGCCAGATTAAGGAGTTAGGACTTTATCCTCTTGACTACCTGCCCTGGTCAATACAGTAGTCACTAGTTAGATGTGGCTATTGAGCACGTGAATGTGGTTAGTCCAACTGCACTGTGCAGTTAAAATACAAACCAGCTGTGAAGACTTAGTATGAAAAAAAGAATGTGTTATGTTTTTGTGTCTCCTATGGAGAACCTAATCTACACTCATAGCTTGAGATTTTTTTTTTACTTTACTGTGTCATTCAGTTATTCTTTATAGTTCATATCATCATTAAATAATTGGCTATATTGAAATATTTTATTGAATGTGCTTAGGTTCATCCTGATTGCTCCTCAAACTGAGATTTTGTAGAAGAAAAATAATTTTAAAAAAAAGAAGGAAAGAAAATCTAAGCAGTAACAACAAATCAATCTTAACATTCCAAGTGAAATTAAATCGTGCTGCCAAGAAATGCCATACAGTTTCTGCCTCTGGGCACAATGCAAGGAAGAAAGGTCAACAAAAGGTAGGCAGCGCAAAGAAGATACCTACTAAAAGCAGAAGGGAAATAAAGAGTGATGAGAGTGATGGAAGAGGGAAAAAACTAACCAAAAAGTTAACCGAGCAGTTTACTCTGCTTTTTCTGCAAGCTTCACAGATAGCATGGCTGCCCTGGGAATATACAGACTTGCTAAAAACCATGTTCTGCTGCTCTCACAATTAGCTATTTGGACTTGATCTTTGGTTTGTTTCTTCAACTACAAAGTGAGAAAATAACACCTGCCTTACCTTCCTCAGTGGGTTAAAGTAAAAGTGAAGCGAGACAGTAAATGTGAAAGGACTTGGAAATGTGTGTGTGTGTGTGTGTGTGTGTGTGTGTGTGTGTGTGTGTGTGTCTTTTAAGCCAGTTGCTAAAATCTAAAAGAAACAATTTGGCTGAACATCTTTCCCAGAAAAAAAATTTTTTTTATCTGAAAAAACAAACTATACGGCATAGGTTTTATTTCTCTTAATGTTCGAATGAGAACATTCTAAGAGAAGTATAGGGACTTGAGAGGAATCAGTTCTCATTCTTACCACCCCCCCCCCTCCCCCGCCATAGTGCATTCACCAACCACAAAACCGGGAGCAGCGCCGGGTAGAGCGCTTTGGGGATGGCGGGGGCAGCCGGAGGGATGGGGGCAGGCTCGCTGAGACAGGAGAGAGAAGCGAGGGTAACGGATCAGGGAGAAGAGGGAGTTTAGAAGGAAGGGAAAGATGCCTTTCCCTATAGTTCAAGCACTTACTGCTGCGAGTAAACTCCTTAGAAGCGTCGACTGGGTACCATAGCAGTGACTGGTTACCATAGCCACCGCGTCCCGGAGGGTGGAGCGACGCTTCCGCGTAGTGCCTCGGCCACTACGCCTCGACTGGAAACGTGGTCACGTAAGAGCAATAACTTCCGGCGGAAAAAGAAGCCGGTCCCGAGTTTTGGCCGACCGGTAGCGAGGGGTCCGTTCTGACGCCTCTATGAAGTTTGGTAAGTTGTTTTCGAGTGGAGCCAGGGGAGGGTACTCGCCTGTGGCTGACGATAGAGCCGCTTGTGAGTTCAGTGAATTCCGAGGACCCATTTTTGAGGAGGCCTCGCTGTCTCCTGAAGTTCACAGCTGCGGGCAGAGGTTGCCTGGTGTCCGGGCTCCTGGCGGGGTCTCTGCTGTAGCCTGGAGGCTCCAGACAGTATCCTTGGGGGGACGGTGTCAGGGGGCTCTGCGCGCTCCCCCAATCGCAGGGGATTCTTGCTCGCTACCTCCAGTGTGATGGGCTGTTTCTCGTATTATTCTTAAAAAATAATTTGGAAGAAAAGAAGTGAATTGGGACATTTAAGAGGGAATGCTCCCAAATTCATCTTAATTCTTTGGTCTTTTGCTTTGCTTAAAAAAAAAATCGTTTTGTAAACATTTCTTAAGCCCCTTTAGTGTGTTTAGTGAGTACTTACTGTGTGCCACGTTTACCATAAGACCAGCAGAAATACCTTCTTAGAGGGTCATCCATCACTCGGGTTCATGATCGAATTCAGTTGTTTTCAATGCTGTTGTCTATTCCTTAATTTAAGACTTAAGAAGCGTATAGCATGAAACATCCAACAAGTTTTTCATGCATGTCTGTACTGTTATACATGAAATTCTTGGAGTGTTTTAAATTTTTTAAGTTTATGTTAGAGAGAGAGAGAGAGAGAGAGAGAGGTACATCAGTTTGTTGTTCCACTTATTCATCCATTCATTGGTTGATTCTTGTATGTACCTTGACCAGGTATCGAACCCACAACCTTGGCTTATTTGACAACGCTTTTTTTTTTTTTTGACAACGCTTTTTAACAAACTGAGCCACTCAGTCAGGGCTCCTGGGGTGTTTTAAACAAAAATATATGCTTCATCAGGTTTGCCTTATAATAATGATTTACTCAACTGAATATCTAAATGTTAAAGAACTTAGAAAAGCAGTACTTGCTTATTTCATACATACATGCAAACTGTACTGAATTAATTGTCATCAATATTTTTATTCAGCTCATCAGAGAAGGCCCACTTGTTCAGTGGATGATGGCATTTGGGCAGATACCAAAAAAGGATTGGTACAGCATTCTGGGGGCAAACCCGTCTGCAAGTATGGCTGACCTAAAACAGAAGTATCAAAAACTCATATTAATGGTAAGTCTGTTCTTTCAGATTTTAAATCATTGGGGAGGGGGTGGGGGAAGGGGAAATCAGTTATTTTTATATGACCAGAAATTTGTTTCCATAAAATGGATATATGATATTCAAGCAGGAATCATGGTATTAATATGGTGAGTTGAACCTTAGCTGGTTTGGCTCAGTGGATAGAGCGTCTGCCTGTTAACGGAAGGGTCCCAGGTTCAATTCCCGTCAAGGGCACATGCCCAGGTTGCAGGCTGGATTCCCAGTAGGGGGCTTGCAGGAGGCAGCCAATCAATGATTCTTTCATCATTGATGTTTCTCTCTCTCCCCCTTTCCCTTTCTCTCTGAAATCAATAAAAATATATTTAAAAAATATATATATGGTGAGTTGAAAGTTTCAATCATATTGTAAAAAAAAAGTTAGTTTGAGGTGAGATAGAATGGCGATTTGGAGCAGGAGATCTGAGTTACCCTGTTTCTACCACTAACTATGAGAACTTGGACAAGTTACTTTTCCCTATATGTGCCTCTGTGAGGTATAATAAAATAATCCATGTAAAATGCTTAAAAGTGTGTCATGTAATAAGCAGCATTAGCATCCAGCAGCCACTAGTTATATATGGCTATTGAGCACTTAAAATGTAGCTTAGTTCACACTCAGATATGCTGAAATAAATATAAAATACAAGTTGGATTTTAAAGACTTAGTACAAAAAAAATCTATTGTTTTGCTGATTACATATGGAAATGATAATATTTTGGATGTATTGTCTGTTCCACATTTAAACAATATATGTGAATATATTTGAACACATAAGGAAATATATTATTAAAATTGATCTCATCTTTTTACTTTTTTAACATTGTATGTGTCTTGCAATTATATTTTCTTTTCTTTTTTTAATTGTTTTTTTTAATTTTGCTCTTATATTTTCATGAGTGGATATTGAACTTTGTGTTTGATTTTTAAAAAATATTTATTGAAGTTTGCATATATTAATTTCCTCCTTTAATCTGTGAGTTCCATTGGTTTTTCATAGTGTTAAATCTATTTTGCATTCTTAGAATAAACAAATCTCACTCATTCATGAATTATTATAGTTTTTATATGTTGTAGTATCCTAATTGCTGTTATTTTGTTAAGAATATGTCTAGATTTATGATGTCTGTGTCTAAATATAGTATAACAGATATGCTGGTTATATAAAATAATTGGGGAGTGATTCCATTTTTTTCGTTTCTGAAAGATTGTATGAGATAGCCTTTATTTTTTATTTAAATGTTTAATAGAATTTACTAGGCAGTTATCAAGAATTTGTCCATTCCTTTATGAAGTTAAATTTATTATTATAATGTTCATACTATCTTCTTATTCTTGAATTGCTATAAGGTATAAATTTATCTTTTCCCTTTTATTCTTTACATTGGCAATTTAAAAAAAAATTTTTTTTTTCCGGATCAGTCTTGGTAGAGGTTTATCTCTTTTATTAATCTTTGCCAAGAACCATCTTTTACTTTGTTGATTTTTTGGTATTGTTTGTCTATTTTTCTTCACATGATTTCTGCTTTTAATTTATTATATCCTTTCTTCTACTTACTTGCTTCTCATTTTCCAGCTTATTAATGAAGAAACTTTCATTGTTATTGATTGTACACCTGTCTTCTTTTCTAAGCCAGAAGCACAAATTTTGATGTGTATATTCATTATCATTTAGTTCAAAATATTTGAAAATTTCTCCTGTAATAGTTTTCTTTGTCCTGTGGGTTACTAAGACATACATTATTTAACTTGAAAATGTTGGAAAACGTTCAGATCTTTCTATTACTGATTTCCAATTTAATTGTGTTGTGGTTAGAGAATGTACTTGGTATGCTTTCATTCCTTTGGAATTTATTAAATCTTTTTTTATGGCCTAGCATATGGTCTATCTTGGTGAATGCTTCTAATCACTTGAAAATTGTGTACTCCATTATTGAATATAGTGTTCTGTAAATATCTACTAGGTTATGTTGATATGTTGTTCAAATATTCTACATTATTGTAGATTTTTTGTCTGTTTTATCAGTTTGTAATTGTAGATTTTATTATTTTTTTCTTTAATTCTATTAAAAATTTTTAATGTATTTGGGATTATTTTTATTAGGTACATATATATTAAAGATTGTCATCTTCATGAATTTGAACCTTTGATCATTATAAAATTCCCTTCTCTATTTCTCATAGTACTCTTCTTGGCATCTACTTTGATATTAATATAGCTACACCAGCTTTCATGTACTGTGTTTGTATGATTTCTTTTTTACCATCCTTTCAGTCTGTCTCTTTTATGTTTAAAGTATGTTTTCTTGTATATAGCGAATAATTAGGGTTAAAAAGTTCCCATCTGTCCATCTCACGCTTTTTATTGGGAGAGTTTAGTCCATTTACATTCCTCCCCACCCTCACCAGCTTTATCTATAATAATAAAAGTATAATATGCTAATTAGACTGGACATCCTTACAGGCGAAGCCAGGACTGCTAGGGAAGCCCGGGTCCTGGGTGCCAGAGGGAAGCCGGTGCTGGCAGCTGGGGGAAGGAAGGCCTACTCTTATACGAATTTCGTGCATCGGGCCTCTAGTTGAGATATAACTGGCATATATCATTGTGGAAGTTTAAGGTGTACAATGTGATGATTAATACACATATATTTTGTGAAATGATAACCACAGTAAGGTTTGTCATCTCACATAGTTACCATTGTGTATGTGTGTGTGTGTGTAGAACCCTTAAGATTTACTCTCTTAGCAACTTTCAGGTATACAAGGCAATATTGATAACTGTCGTCACTGTACTGTACACTAAATCTCCAAATTGATCTTATAATTGGAAGTTTGTATTCTTTTACCATCTTATCTCCCCCACCCCCTAGTTCATTTACATTTTATGTCATTATTAGAGGCCCGATGCACGGATTCATGCACTGGTGGGGTCCCTCGGCCTGGCCTATGGGGATCGGGCCAAAAACGGTTTTCTGACATCCGTGAGGGGTCCCAGATTGTGAGAAGGCACAGGCCAGGCTGAGGGTCCCCACTGGTGCATGATCGGGGTTAGAGGAGGGACTGTGGGAGGGCTCCAGGGCGTGTCCGGCCCATCTCGCCCAGTCCCAATCAGCCGGACCTTAGCAGCAAGCTAACCTATGGTTGGAGCGTCTTCCCCCTGGTGGTCAGTGTGCATCATAGCGACTGGTCAAACAGTTGAATGGTCAGACACTTATCATATTAGGCTTTTATTGTATAGGATTGACAATCTTTGGGCTTAAATCTGTAATCTTTTAGTTTTTAGATTTGTCTAATTTGCTCTTTGTTCCTCCATTTTGCCTTCCTTACCATCTTTTGGGTGAATCAAGTATTTTTTCAAGAATCAAGTATTCTATTTGTCAAGTTTTTAGTTTAATTCTGCACCATTTTCACTTGATTCTCTATTATACTTATCACTAGAGGCCTGATGAACGAAATTTGTGCAAGGGGTTTGGCCCTCGCAGCCATGGCGGCTTGCCTTAGCCCTCGTAGCTGTGGCGGCTTGCCTTGGCCCTCGCTGCCCCGTCTTTGTCCAGATGGTCATTCGTCTGTCTGGTCTAATTAGCATATTATGCTTTTATTATTACAGATATTT